CTGTTACCAAAATAATTCAAAATATAACTTTAGATGTTATTGGTCTTGTTGGTACGTGTTTAATCTGTTTTATTCTACACGTTAGATTTTATCAATGATGTTTCTAATTGTAATCGTAATAATAATCGAATTATTATAGGTTTTAATTACGAATTCAATTCTACTAGTTCAGATTCTGAATTAGCTCAAGCTTATAAAACAATAACTGGTCTTAATCCTTCGCTATTATACTTAGCTATTGAAGCACTCTTTCCATTTCTCAGGAAACTCCCAATTCCTTATTACGAACAATTTCGTAATTCAGTTAAAACCATTAAAAAAATTTCTGAGAGATTAATTACTGAACAAAAAAATGTTATTATTCGAGGAAATGATTTATTGTCTTTATTGGTAAAAGCAAATGAGGATTTGCCTGTTGATGAACAATTAACTCATGGTGAATTACTTAGTCAGGTAAAAATTTATTTAGATTATTAAAATAGTTTATATTAAATTTTACCGTATTTAAATTTTAAATTTATTAAATTTGCTAAGGTTATGACGTTACTCGTAGCTGGATATGAGACCACTAGCACTGCATTATCTTGGGCGCTATACTTTCTCGCAAAAAATCCTGATGATCAGGATCGTCTTCGTAAAGAAGTAGTTGATGCATTTTGCTGATCGTAATCATTTTCCAACTTTTGATGAAATTGACCATTTGAAATACTTAGAATGTGTCTTTAAAGAAACTTTAAGGATTGTTCCACCATGTATAGTTCAATACCTATTTCTTATCCTTTAATCTTGTCAATTTATTCAATTTTATTTATTCTACTTTATTTATTATTTAAAGCGCCTGGACTTTCCCGCACTAATACAAAAGATGAAGTTTTGAATGGTTACGTTATTCCAAAGGTATTTTTCCAAATAAGTTTTCATAGCTTAATTTATTTGATAATAATATAATTAATAACTTTAAAATTTTTCATTTAGGGAACTCCAATGTTGATTAGTATCTACGCAATTCATCATGATCCCTTAATTTGGGGTGATGATGCTGAATATTTTAACCCATCTCGATGGCTTGATCCTGAAATAAAATCGAAAGTAACAAATAGTAACTTCTTACCTTTTGGTGCTGGTCCAAAAAATTGTTTAGGAATGAGATTAGCTCATTTAGAACTTAAATCTATTTTATCTGTAATTATTAGAAATTTGGAGTTTAGATTAATTGAAAATTTTACTTTTAGTAAGAGACTCAGTGGTACATCTAAGCCAGTTCCAGGAATTGATTTATGGGTTTCAAAAGTAGATTATTAACCTTTCTCTCGAATGGAATTTTTTTAAACTATAGTTTTTTTAAAAAAAAAACCAGTTTATTACTTAAACTATCATGTAAATTATGCTGCTTTTATTGTTGTTTTTACTATTTAATTCATAATGTATATTTTTATTGAAACCCTTTATTTTGTAACTAATATATATGTATAGATTATTAACTGATCTATATATTTATGATAATAAAAGCAAATTCTATTTGAATACAGGGACTGCGGCGGTTAAGACTAAATTTTTTATGTCGTTAAGACAAATTCTGTGACTAAATTTTTAGCCAATTCTGTGCAGTACTGTGGTATCATTTCATGATTCTATGTGCATAGCGAACTTTACTGTGATTGGTTAGATTTTGTTGATCACTCGTGATTTTATTGGCCGATCGACGAATCAAATTGTGCGATGATCATAGAATAACGGCGTTAAAATTGATATTTAAAGTTTTACTTAAACATTAAGAAACATCATTATGCGCCAAGAAATGCCCTTAATACCTTTATAATCTCCCATAAAGAAGTAATAGTCAAGTTTATTATTGTTAGATCAAAATAAAATTTATCTATTCTAACGATACATACAAATCTTTTTCGTCTTTTCGTATATTATTAAATGTCGTGGATGATGCTGAAATTTGAAGGTCTCGATTTAAAAATATAAACTCTACCAAAATCCACTATTCTCTTTTGCTAACAATGCTAACCTAAATCCTAACCTTACCCTTAACACCTCAAAAAATTTAAAAATCGAACATACTGTAATAAATCCTCCAAATTTCAGCATCATTCGATTTAAATATCATTTTTGACATTAAATACCCAATAACCTATTGTGGTAATGCCGTCAAAACTTCACACTATTACTCGATATTCTAAGATAATTTTGTGAAGAGAAGTATATTAGCAAAGATTAATAAAAAAAAAAGGTCATTTTAAAAGTAAAAATAGTAAAAACATAGAAAAGAATAAAAATACCATCTAACCTATTGTTTATAAGCTACAAACACAAACGCCTTGATGAAATTATATATACTGTATAAAAAAAAAAAAAAGGAACAAAAGACAGTTAAATCGCATAGTTTACGAACTAAATAGAAAGTTTTGAAATGCTCAAAAAGTAGCTCTCATTTAACTTCCGAATTACCTCGCTGATTACCAAATTACTTTAACACCTTATAGAGAAGAAAGTATAGTTTCTGAATTTTTATACCACAACCTCTGTGAATATGTATTCGTGGCTGCGAATTCATTCTCATTAGTGTTCTGAAATTGGGTTCAGTTCGGTTTGGGTTCAGTCGAACCCGAACATTAAATTTTGCAAATCTTCGAACTCAAACCCAAATCGAACCTAGAATTTATGAACCCGAACTGAACTCGAACTTGAAATTTGGTTCAGTCTGAGTTCGGTTCGAAGTTCATGAACATGTTCGGGTTCAAATAATAATTAAGCTTTAAAAAAATCGTATGGTTGTGCAACATGTGACCTTGCACAGGACACATATCAGGAAACTTATCTTACGCGATTGCACCCGATATTCATTGATTCAACCTGTGTAATGTGAATAAGAAGCTAAATGAGATGTGAATAGCTTATATTAAATGCTTTGATCAATTAGACCAATGAACAATCACTAAACTTAGACTAAGAGTATTCTATGTGATTAGATAGCTATTGAGATCATTCATAAGTACTGTACAATGATTAATTGAAACGATCCCTTCTATGACAAAAAAAAGATAGCTTCAAACTTTTTTTTTATCACTACTTATCAGTTAAACTACTTTCCACCAATAATTTATGTGCTTGAGAGAACCCTAAATCATATGAATAAAAATTGAAACGAGAAATTAATTAATACGTATATTGATTGATAATGTTCAATTGATTAAATAAGAATAATACTTAATTGAATATCATGCGAAAACTTGACATTATATGACAGAATTTTGTAAGATTTTAGAGCTGTTAATGCTTGTATACAGTGTTGTTGACTGGAAGCTGGAACCTCACTGGACGTTCAGATATTTTAAGTGGTTCCGGTAAAGTTTTCGCTAGAAGAGATTATTTTACTGGAACCAATATAATACTGGCCAATAAGTTTACGAATAAGAATTAAGGTGATATCCAATCAGTTGCAAGAATACTTTTTATTCTAATAGTACATGTAACTTGAAAATAGAGAGTTATACAAGTAAAGCAAACACCCACAAATTTTTTATTTAACTACTATTAAAATTAAAGCAAGTAAAATTAAATCTTTACAATAAAGTTATACGTAAGTCAACGGATCAAAAATATGGCTAAGCAGAACATAGGCACCTCACAAGGCCCGGGTAAGCAAATGTGGGAAGACATGTGGAGATTGGGTGAGTTTCCAAACAGAGATCCGAATATAGGTGAGTATGATATAAAATTAATTTCTGCAAATGGAAAACATTGAACCTGGGCAGGATCAATACAAGATGAAGCAAGTACAAGTAAAAAGGAGAGCAGCTCCAAAAATTATGGCAGGAGTAGTCAATTTTGTTGTAAGAAATTGAACATAATCGCAACCTGATCCCGCCCACCTGATATTTTTATAATAATTACCAAACATTAACAGCCGGCTTGCATTATGCAGGCGGGAAACCACCAGCCAATACTATACATAACAGGCTCAACTGCTTACAGTAATGCGTCGGCTTGAAGCATATCCATTTCAGTTTCAAATATGCATAAATCATATCTATATTTGCAAATCAATAAAGTCTTATCCCGGTATATTAGACCAGATTATCCAAATTGAATCATGCATACAATACTTTTCGATATTATATTTTATTTCATTTTGAATTCAAAATGTCAATCATTTCATTTCAAACCCCAAATTGAGCTAAGTGAAATAATGTAAAATGGTCTCGATTTAGGGTAATAATTATAAGGGAAATCATTCAATAGGGTAATTCAGAACTAAAACAGGTTGAGTCAATGAATATTAGGTGCATATCGGGAGACAAGTTTCCTGATATATGCCTATTAGTCTGCTATAGATCCGTCAAATACCCAAGATATCAGGTATGATACATTATACATCTTATCTGTGTTTTACTGTTTATACGAATCATAAAGATTATATCACTTATACTAACTATACTACTGATATCACTGATTCCCTTCATCTCACTAATATCCATTGAAGATCCGATACGGCATATACAACGAATACAACATATACGATGAATGTATATCACTGGAAAACCTATTTATGGTAAGTGATCTTCATAGCCGCTAGGATGCGCGTGTACTTATTTTATTTGTGCGAGTGATACAAATCCAAAAAGGGAAATTAGCCAATTGGAGAACGTAAAATGTGATGATCCCGGATCAGCCCGACACGCGAGCAAAGCGAATACTTAAAAACTATTGTTTAAATCGACCTTGTTGGACTAATAAAAAATAACGGGAACGAAATTTTACATATAAAAAACTCATATTATCACTAAAGCTCACAACCCTAACACTAACCCTAACCCTAACGTCCTAATCCTAAACTTTCTTAGTTTTTTGGGTTTGTACTACTCGCAAAAATAAGTACCGTACACCACTGACTATAGTACCCCGGGTACTACATAATAAATGAAACAGCAAAATCAGAAGCAAGTATATTTTTTCTTCTACTTACAAAATTAATAATAGTTTAGTCCATGATGACAAAAGCCGTATTGTATTTTCTTGAGTTATTGTATTCTCTGAATATTGGTGGGGTGCAACCGTCCAATAGTATGGTGAGTTTATAAAGTTTATTGCAACCGTTCAATAGTAATACCAAAATTCAAATTTTGGTTTTTCTTAGTTGGTGGGGTGCAACCGTCCAACCATATGTGAACTTATATTGAAAATTAACGATGATATTATAATATCTCAAAATTAATTTTTACATTTGTAGAAACAATATAAAAATGTTCTGGGAATTATTTGGAACTACAGAATGTTTTGGGGGCTTGTTACTTCAGAGTGTCTTCATTTTGGTTGGTTAGATCTTGTCCCAAACTATAACTATTTTGATCTCACAACTACGCGAAAGTGTCACCTTCATAATGCAGTAATGTATGAAATCATAAATACTTATTTGTGTGTTGCAAAGCGAAAACCTGGAATTCGGTTTTTGCCGGCTCCGCTTTCTGATCCGAAGCACAACATAAATTATATTGTGTTTTTCGGGGTTTGATTTGTAAAATTAATTTCGGAAAACTCTCAATTCCAGGTTTTCGCTTTGCAGCACTCATTTTATACCACATCATATAGTTTTTTACTTAAAGAATTTTCTAACAATAGATGCCTATCGATAATTCTGACTTGATTGTTCATATTATCGGTCAATCAAGTTGCGTTATGCATAGACATAAGTGAAGATGATGTTTTGTTTTCAGGGCTTTTTTTTTATAAAAAATGTTAAATTAAAATTTAGAGTTAAGACATAATTAAAAACTAAAATTTAATAGAGGAGTTTTATATCATAATTATGAGGTCACAATTTTTAGTTTTCGTGAGGTTTTCAGGGGTCCTGGACATTTTTACTGTTTTTGAAATTCCTAAAAACTAATAATTAAAAATATAGATAGTATATATATATATATATATATATAATATACGTATAAATTTTATTGCATATTTTTTATCAAGACTTTTATTTTAGTATTAGCTATAACAATTATTGTCACGGATGACCATGAAATCGGATAATAGGGGTATTTTTCTAGCTTTTTTTTTAGGGTTAGGTTAGAATTTAAAGTTATAGTTACTTAAAAAAAAGTATAAGTAGATTTTAATAGGAGACGAAATGATTTTACGCTGGCAAAATGTTTTCGGCTAGGAAAATCCCCGTGATTTTCCGATCGGGCTAATTGTAAAACTTAGAGATGTGAACCGTTTGTCGATCACGGCCTGCATTACGGTTAATTTGGGCCGTGATCGGCAAACGGTTCGCATCTCTATGTAAAACATCTTTTTACTTTACTGATTCGACAGTTTATTTAATATTGAATAAATAAAGCAAAAGGTGATTTACATATGAATAATAACTGGCTAAGCTTTTCCGAATTAGCCCGATCGGAAAATCCCGAAGGGTGATTTTCCCAAATTACTATATATTATGAACCGAAATTATTTCGCTCTGACGAAATTATTTCTTATTAAGAAATTAATTTAGTCCGAAACACTAATTTATATTTTCAAAAGGAGACCCCACAATTAAAATTTCCATATATTAAAACCGATTAAGTTTTTATACGTACCAAAAAAATATATACTTTCAAATTATTATTCAGCATAGATTCTTAAATAAGACTCTGCGTATTACAATACGTAGAAATAAAATTTATAATTTCTCAATTACCGTTACAGTACATATATTTATTTTATCATATTAAATATCTATATATAGTTTAATAATAAAGTTATTAGATGTCTCGGCATCCAATAATGATTTCATAGTACGTAGGCTGGTGGATAATTGTAACTACCCTAACTTAATTTAATAATTTGTGTCCGGGTCTATAAAAGTACCATGCTTAATAAAGAGGACGAATACGTAAACTTGAACAATAAGATCAGATGGTAGATGGCGACACAGTACACAATATAAATAATATGAGGTAATTATAACTTCAAAGTAGTGAATATCCAATCACGCAATAAGTAGCAATAAGTAGCAATAAGTAGCAATAAGTAGCAATAAGTAGCAATAAGTAGCAATAAGTAGAACGTACAACAATATGCAGCACGTTGCACATTGCTACACATTGCTATTGCTGCATTGTACAATGATAACGCATTAACGTTAAAGTTTTAACTGTCGTAGTATTGATGACGTATTAATGAATTTTTTTAAATTCGTTTTATGTTCAACATTTTTACCATCCTTTTCTCACGTTAGTTTTAACGAAATATGTCAGAACAAGACGTAAAACCAACGTCCATTAATGAAAAAAGTGCAGAAAAGACGCCAGAAGTTCAACAAGTTACTTCTGATAACACAGATGGAACTACGCCAACTCAAGATAAAGTTCCGAGAGTTCAAATAGAATTCCCAAAGAGACAAAAAAGTTTTGAAATTCAAAATGAAAGTAGAGATGTTGAAGGTATTTTTTAATTTTTTAATTTTTTAGTTGTATAAAGCTTCTCATTAGAACACAAAGAGTTTACGCGTCAATTTTATAATAATAAACCCCAGAGTCGACACAAAATGACTCACAGAAATTAGGATATGATAATGAATCCAATAGAGCTCCAAAGAATATAGAATTAGAACATTTTGAGACGCGCAGTATTGAAGAAAATGCTGAACCTTGGAAGCATGAAGGACCTTGGTACACGGATATTACGAAGAAAAGGTGGTTAATCTCTATCATTATCGCATTAATGATTGTTGTAATTATCATTGTTGGTGAGTGTTAATGCAAATATGAGGTAGACTTCATCAAATTGATATTCAACATTGATTTAATCAAATTTTCTTTCATTTTACAGTACCGGTATCAGTAGCACATGCAACAAAATAATATTCCTACATATGATAAAATACAAATTTAGGAGACAAGACTTAATGCATCACATATCACGAATTTCTCTATCATTCATATGAATGATTCATTGTTTAATCGAAATAGAATTGAAGATTCTAAATGACCATTGAAATATATCCTAATGGTTGCAATATATGGACGATTTTCGCGAATTGACTGACAATCTGTGTTCAAAAAGACATTATTTTATTTTGTATAAAACATAAGGGATCGTAGCGTTGAATATTAATGATTATATTTATACGTTATTATCATATTATTAATCGAATATAATTGGTTGCTATTAACATATAATCTGACGAGTTTAAAATATCTTATCGTAATATCATGTCCAGGAACTCATATAGTGTAACCAAAAAAAACTTTATATGAAGACGTTGCTCAAAAGTCACTTTGATTAATAATAATAACTTTTAAAAGAAAAATTATCTAACAAGAGGCTTCTTACTGATTTTGATCTTCAGAGTCTCACGTACGTACGTAGATGATTAAAAATTGCTATAATAGATAGAAACAAGTTTAGTAATTCGTAACTAAAATTAGTATTTATTTTTACTATTCAGTCCTGACTTGGGGTTACTTGAGCCAATTTAATCGTCAATCTTTAATAATCAATTTTCTAAAAAATATCTTGCGAGTATAGAAATATTAATTAATATACAATATATATACTGTATATGCATGATCAATTCGTATGTATAATGGAATGACATAGCATATAATAAAGGGCAACTTTTTATATTTTATTTTGAATATATACTAAAAAAAAATTATTATTTTTTTATTTGTTAATAGGTGCTGGTTTAAAATTACTGGTGAAGAAATTTCTTTTGAATACTTCAAATATACTTTAAATATATTTAAAGTATTTAAAGGAGATTTTTTTGCTACTGTACAAATAATTTTAAGCCAGTATACTCAGTATTAAAAATTTTACCATTTTTTGAAAGCATGTACTGTATATAGAAATAATGCTATTTTTTACTATATGGCTATTTTAAATATGAAAATGTATCTTTGTTAATCGTATATTTCAATATTAAGAAAGCGTCTTCATATGAAATGCTTTTTGAGAATGTCATGCTATTGGAAATTCCTCGGGTATATACTGTATATGTACTACATCACGATAAAAGTTAATATCTAATTCGATAATATTAGTTGATGTGGTTTGTGTGAGCAATATTAATTATTGTAGATCAAAAATTAACATAGATTAGATGAAATAGAAATTGTTGATACTGTACATCTGAAAAATGACCTAATAATTCATCGCCTAAAGTTAAGTAAGATTCAAGTTAAAAATTTCGATTTACAAAGAATAATGATAATCTGAAATTTGATCAGCAAAATAACATGAAAAATGTAAAGATTTTTGAAAATAACCATATGAAAATACAAGATTTTATATTCATTTTTCTTTTGCTTCGTTAATAAAAAAAGGTTGAGACTACGTAGTGTTGCAGTGGAATCGTCCCAATGATTGTTGTAACTTGCCGTAACTATAATGAGTAATATAGTAAATTACGGTTATAACTGTATAATGCCGTAACTTACTATATTCCTTACATATATTACTTACTATAGTTACGACAATCATTGGGACGATTCTATTGCATCACTAGTTGAGACGAGCCGATCTTAAACTGCATAAGTGCGGAATGGTAACTTTGCATGATTAATTTCATCTTGTAGTCTTGCTCAATATTTAACCGTACCGAATTTTCGGACCACCGTGCGAACTGTTCTAAATTTGGAAGTGATAAAAGTGCCGATACATACAAGATACAGATTGAGTTTCGACCAATAAAACTCATCGGGACTTTTGTATGCTACACAGATAATAATTATTTTACTAATTTAACTAATCTCTGAAAGCTTATCGGAGATTTAAGAATTGATTATCAATTATATTAGCATTAATTAAAGTATAAAAACTAGATCCACCTAAGCTCTACCTCCATCTCCATCTTTAATCAACTCTCAAAATCTTTAACTTTTCTCCATTATTAGGATTACAAAAAAAATCAATCCATTTTTTTTCATTATATTTTATTAAATTGTCATGTATCATGATCATTCTGATCATTCAGTAGATACTATCCGTCGGGATAGTCAAATATTAGGCCACCTTCCAAAATTATTGGTGGCTAATCGCGGGGTAAATCTAATTTCTAGGCATTTTATAATTTTATTATCATCTTTTCAATAAATCGATTTTTTAATTTCTTAATTTAATAGGAAATAGCTATTCGTATTTTTCGAACCTCTCATGAACTTTCTATGAAAACTGTCGCTATCTTCAGTCATGAAGATCGTTTATCAACTCACCGTTATAAAGCCGATGAAGCCTATCAAGTAGGTGACCCGAGCAACCATACCCCTGTTGGTGCTTACCTTGCCCAAGATGAAATAATTCGTATCGCAAAACAAAAAGGCGTATCAATGATTCATCCGGGTTACGGTTTCCTTTCGGAAAATGCTAGTTTTGCAAGAAAAGTTGAAGAGGCTGGAATCGCCTTTGTTGGACCTACACCTGATGTTATTGAGAAAATGGGTGATAAAACAAAAGCAAGAGAAATTGGTATAATAATATATATTATTTCTGATTTTCTGATTTCTGACTTTTTATTTATTCAATATATATATATATTTTATTAACCATAATCCAAATTACAATTTTAAGCTATCGAATGTGGTGTTCCCGTAGTTCCAGGTACTCGAGGTCCAATTTCCACAATTGAACAAGCTAAAGCTTTCATAGAGGAATGTGGCTTTCCGATTATTATTAAAGCAGCAATGGGTGGTGGTGGACGTGGAATGAGAGTAGTCCGTAATTTTGAGACTTTGAAAGATTCATTTAACCGTGCAAAATCCGAAGCTTTAGCCGCTTTTGGTGACGGAACTGTTTTCTTGGAACGTTTCTTGGATAAACCAAAACATATTGAAGTTCAATTGCTAGCTGATAATGAAGGAAATGTAATCCATTTGTTTGAACGTGATTGTTCGGTACAAAGACGTCATCAAAAAGTTGTTGAAGTTGCTCCTGCAATTAATTTAAAGGTTCTTTTTTATTTTCTTTTCGAATTTTTTTAATTATGAAAACAAAATTATTAACCTTTATATATAATTAGACTTCTGTTCGTGATGCTATTCTCAATGATGCCGTAAAACTCGCAAAACATGTGCATTATCGGAATGCTGGTACGGCTGAATTTTTAGTTGATCAGCAAGACAGACATTATTTCATTGAGATAAATCCTCGAATTCAAGTTGAACATACGATTACAGGTGAACTTTATTATTCTATTTACTTTTTATACATATTTTTTTGAAATAAAAAATTTTTATTTAATGATTTTCTTTTTTTTGCCTTTGTTAGAGGAGATTACTGGTATTGATATTGTTGCAGCTCAAATTCAAATCGCTGGTGGTGCCCTTCTCGCCCATCAATCTCTTTTACAAAATCGCATTCAAATTTCTGGTCATGCTATTCAGTGTCGTGTAACTACTGAAGATCCTGCTCAAAACTTTCAACCTGATACCGGGAAAATTGAAGTTTACAGATCATCTGGTGGTAATGGTGTTCGATTAGATGGTGGTGCTGGCTATGCTGGTGCTATCATTACTCCTCACTATGATTCTTTATTGGTAAAAGTTACTTGTTGGGGAAAAACTTATGAAATTGCCAGAAGAAAAATTCTTCGTGCCTTAGTCGAATTTAGAATCCGTGGTGTAAAGACAAACATTCCTTTTTTACAACGTTTATTAACTCACGATGCTTTTGTAAATGGTGAAGTGTGGACAACTTTCATCGATGATACTCCTGATCTTTTTAGACTTGTGGGAAGCAAGAATCGTGCTCAAAAGATTTTGAAATATTTGGGTGATGTAGTTGTTAATGGAAGCAGCATTAAAGGTCAAATCGTAAGTTTGATAATCTTTGATTTTACTCTTTTATCATTATTTTTTAAATCATTTTCTAGATATTATTTATATTTATTCATATTTATTCATATTATTCGTATTGTTTGTACGTAGGGTGAACCTTCATTTAAGAAACCGTTAAGTATTCCGACTATCTATTCTCAAGATTGCTCTGAGCCCGTTGACATAAATAATCCTCCTAAACATGGTTGGAGATACATACTTCAAGAACAAGGACCTGAAGCATTTGCCAAAGCTGTCCGCGAATATAATGGTGTATTGATCATGGACACAACATGGAGAGATGCTCATCAGAGTTTATTGGCAACTAGGGTCAGAACTATCGGTAAATTAATCTCTCTTTTATAATATTGTCTTCTGTATTGTATTTTCCGTTTGCTTATGATTTTTTTTTTTTTCCTTTAGATCTCTTGAATATTGCTCCTCAAACAGCTCATGCGCTTGCAAATGCTTTTTCTCTTGAAATGTGGGGTGGTGCGACTTTTGATGTATCTATGAGATTTTTATATGAAGATCCTTGGGATCGTTTGGTATGTTTTTATATTTTTGACACAAAACAATAAAGTGACATTTTAAACTTATAGTTTTGTTTTTTTTTAAAAAAAAAAAATAATCATAAATTTTAGACCAAATTACGCAAACTTGTTCCAAACATTCCTTTCCAAATGTTACTTCGTGGTGCAAATGCTGTGGGTTATACCTCATATCCAGATAACGTTATATATGACTTTTGTAGAAAGGCAAAGATTCATGGTGTGGACATTTTCCGTATCTTTGATTCTCTTAACTACATTGAAAATATGAAATTAGGCATTGATGCTGTTAAAAAGGCTGGTGGTGTAATAGAAGCCTCAATTTGTTATACTGGTGATGTTACTAACCAAAAAGAGAAAAAATATGATATAAATTATTATTTAAAGTTAACTGAAGAATTAGTTAATGAAGGAATTCATATACTTGGTATTAAGGATATGGCTGGTTTATTGAAACCAGAAGCTGCCGAAATTTTGATCGGTAGCATAAGGAAGAGATGGCCTGATCTACCAATTCATGTTCATACTCATGATACTGCCGGAACTGGTGTTGCTAGTATGTTAGCAGCTGCTAAAGCAGGTGCTGATGCAGTTGATGTGGCCATTGATAGTAAGTATAGTATCTTATAGTATCTTAATTTATTCTTAATAATTAAATCTTGATAAATTTTATTTAAGGTATGTCTGGTATGACTTCTCAACCATCTATGGGTGCCGTCGTTGCTGCACTTGAGCATTCTGAACTCGGTACAGGTATTAATGTGGAAAATGTGCACGCTTTGAATGAATATTGGGAACAAGCACGTAAATTATATAGTTGTTTTGAATCTGGAGTTTTAAGTAGTGATTCTTCAGTATACTATCATGAAATGCCTGGTGGTCAATACACAAATTTAATGTTCCAAGCTTCACAATTGGGTCTCGGTAAACAATGGAAAGAAATAAAGAAGGCTTATGCTGAAGCCAATAAACTTTGTGGAGATATTATTAAAGTAACGCCTAGCTCAAAAGTTGTAGGAGATCTTGCTCAATTTATGGTCACTAATAAATTCTCATATAATGATGTAAGTTCATAATCTTTCTTTACCCGCCTAAACTTATTCCAAAAAAATACTTAACTTTTTATTCAATTAGGTAATTGAGAAGGCGAAAAGTACATCATTTCCGGTTTCAGTTGTAGAGTTTTTCCAAGGTTATCTAGGACAACCGTACGGTGGATTTCCTGAACCACTTCGCTCAGATGTAATTAATTATACATATACTTATTATAAGCTTGTAAACATTTATTTATTTACTTTTTTTTTTTTTTTGTTAATTATTCATTAGATCATCCGTGATCTTCCACGAATTGATGGAAGACCTGGTATATCATTGCCACCTTTGGATCTTGACGAACTTAAAAAGGATTTGAAAGCTAAGTATGGTCGGTCCATTCGTGAAGTTGATGTATCCTCAGCAGCAATATATCCCAAGGTGTTTGCAGAATATCGTGAACAGATTGAAAAATTTGGTGATGTCTCAGTAATTCCAACGAGATATTTCTTGTGCAAGCCTGAACTTGGTGATGAATTTTGCATAGATCTCGAAGAAGGTGTTACCCTAATTATAAAGTTTTTGGCTATTGGGCCTATAGATACAACTACTGGAAAGCGAGAAGTATTCTTTGAATTAAATGGTGAAACTAGGGCTATTGCTATAGATGACAGAAGTGCTGGTAATTTAAAAAGCTTTTACGATAAATTATTATTATTATTATTATTATTATTATTATTATTATTATTATTATTATTATTATTTAATAATTATTAAATATCTTTATTTAATATTAGCTGTTGAACATGTTCATCGTAAAAAAGCTGATACAGGAAATCCTGGTGAAGTTGGTGCACCAATGTCTGGAGTAGTGATCGAAATTAGAGTACAAGGCATGTCTAAAATGTTAAATAATTTTATTTGAATATTGCTAACTAAGAATATTTATTTTTACTTTTTTAGATGGAGCTGAAATTAAAGCTGGTGACCCTATATGTGTTCTTTCAGCAATGAAAATGGAAACAGTAGTTTCATCACCAGTTTCTGGTAAAATTGATCATATAGAAGTTAAAGAAAGTGATTCATTATCGGCAGGAGATTTAATTGTTAGGATAACTAAGTAAACAAATATATATATATTTAAACTTTGTGATAATGTTATATATAGTAAATATGTTATTTATAGTAAATATTACTTTTTATAATAATAAATTTTTAATTTTATTTATATAATTTAACAGTCAAAAAACATGTTTACATATAAGGGCTTAGATTACAATTACTTATAAATAAAATGAGTTAAATGAGTTGACTTACCCAATTTTATATATAAATTTATGCAAAAAAAAAATTAAATTGTAAATCAACCTTGTGTAACTAATATCATATGATTTACATGCAAACATTATATAATTTGATCAATTAGTTTTCTGTATTACTAAAGAAATATATATAATATTTAAAGAAATTTTTTTTTTTTTTTTTTTATTCTTTGACAGGTCTTGCCGTGACTTGACCTCTTAGTTTTTAGTACATTCAATTTATATACATTTATTTCTAAGACTAAATATAAGCCCAACTTCACCCGGTTGCCTATAAAGGTACCTAGGTGCAACTAGTGACTTGAATCAGTTGAGCTATAATCAGTTAACCAACCGAACCGAATAAATTTTGGGTAACCGGTTGAGAAAATTCTTAATCGGTTGAATCAATATGATATGAGAAAATGTCAAATGACATAGGAGAGAGTAAGGATTCGTAAAGTTCTGACAGAAAATAAATGAACATAATAGACAAGTAGGTCGAGATAAAAAATTAGAGTAATGCTCCGAGAATTTCCGAAGGCAGTGTAGATGTTAATCTTAATCGGTTGAATAAAATAATTAGGTTCAGTTAACCGATTAAGAGAATTTTTCTCAGTTCAAATCACTAGGTGCAACCCATTGCACTAGCTCACAGATAAGCTAGAAAAAGCACTCTTTTTTAAGAACTTGTCCAAAAGGGATTTACACCCTTTTGTATCCAACTCAAAATAGTGTTGTCCCACACTTTTTTAACCTCCTTTTCTTTTACTGATACTTTCTTTTCTTTAACTCTAATTTTGTTCTTTTTCTTTTTAGCATTGGACAATGTGTTATTTTCTTTATCAGTCGATTTTCTCTTGTCCTTCTTCTTTATGTTTTGTTCTTTTTCCCATTCGTTGACTTTAATGCATCTGTCTTTTTATACAAAGTCATAAAAACCATTCCAGATCATATACGTGGCAAGTTCTATCAAATCTGCGGTTGTTTTCGTTGAATTTAGGAGATTCTTGATTTTGTTAAATGAGTCAATAGTAGATAAGCCCTTAATCCACAATTTTCTTTTTTCAATCTTATCTACTTCTGTAACCCCAATTAAAATCTCATGAAGAAGTCTTTTTGAGCAAAGATATTTTCCTTATTTCATGAATTTGGACCATACTAGATCGATTGCTGAGTTTTCGATACATTGCCATATTGTCTTGTAATAAGAACATTCTGCCAAGTGATCCTGGGTTTCTGCTGTGCTATTATTGCATACTATACAATTGCTGCTTGTATAAATGTCTGGTCTTCTTGTCGCCAAAGTTCTGAGCACTGGTAAGTTTCTTGAAAGGTATTTTAACTGTGTTGCGAGTTTTTTACTTTTTTGCAGCGAGTTACATTTTACCCCTTTTGATTTTTTAATCCTTTTCCAATATGTGTGCCAATCTAATTTGGGGTTATTCGTTTCAGGTTCTATAACTCTGATTGATTCTGTTAATCA